CCCTTGCCAGATTTAATTCCAACTGGGCCTTAGCCTTCCTTGTCGCATCCCTGCACGCTCTGACAATGTCCCTGTCTGTATTCCTCCCAAGTGGCCTGTCCCCTTTTCCACATTCTGTACACTTCCTTCTTCTGCTGGAGTTTTGCCAGGAGTTCCTTGCTCATCCAGGCAGGTCTCCTGCCTGCTTTGCTTGACTTCTTACTCAGAGGGATGCACTGCTCTTGAGCCTGGAGGAAGTGATGCTTGAATATTAACCAGCTTTCTTGGACCCCTCTTCCTTCTAGGGCCCTACCCCATGAGATTCCCCTAAGTAGGTCCCTCAAGAGGCCAAAGTCAGCTCTCCTCAAGTCCAGCGTTCCCTGCTCCCTCCTCGTAGGATCCTGAACTCCACCATCTCATGGTCACTGCAGCCAAGGCTGCCCCCAACCTTCACATCTCCAACTAGACCTTCTTTGTTCGTTAGTACAAGGCCTAGATATACTATAAATAATACTATAATACTATATAAATAATAATACTCTATAAATACTCCATAAAAATTCCAGTAAGTCACTTCATGGAGTTGTTAGCTCTTCTTACTGATGCTTTACAAAATCTGAAGAAGTAATGGAAAAAATGCCAGCAAAATCACCAGCTGACTGTCCCAAAGAAATTGTAATTCACCACAAAGATTCGGTTAAATATGACATAAGAGATGCATCAAATTTATTAAGGCTTCTTCTGAGGTCAAAAATTTGCACAGGCTGTACTCTGCTTGACTCTGATACTAAAAGCTGCCCTTACGTTTTGGACATCTAATGAAGCAATATTCTTGAGTTCTCCATGCTGGAAAGAATCAGGTAATTCTGAAGTCCACCAAAAGATAGATTCTGTCCATCTATTACATGTCAATTTAGACTGGATTTGTGTCTGAAAAAATTCAGGTACCTACCTCTCTCCATCGTCTGTGCCGGGGATGCGAGTGTTTACTCCAAAGGGCATTTTTGCTAGGTACAAATGCTTAAAGCACCAAGTTAGATGGAGTTGGTCCAATTAAAGGTATAAGAAGACGAATTTCACCCTTCAGTCCTGGTTCTAAGTATTTTCATGTGCAAAGATGACGGGCCTGGAGTATGAAATCCTGCATGTGAATAAATCTGGAATCTGGGCAAATTCTGGATAGGTTAAATCTTTAACTGTCTGTTCTCTGCCAAAAGTGAGTTTTCACATCAAGATAGTTGTTTCAGTGGAAGATGCTAGCTGAAATAGGCCATTTTTAACACAGTTGGAGGCAGACTTTGGCAATGACATATAGTTTGGATGGGAACTGCTTTATCAAAAAATATTGAAAAGCCTCAGTGCCTTCCCTTCACCCGTATTTCACACTAAGCTACTAATGTCAAATGAGTGATCTCTGTAGAAGAGCCTACCTTTTCATAGGCTGTTAGGCAATATACTTGCATGTTTTGGTAATGAGGTAGCATGTCAGCTGTGTGCAAGCAATATGATTGCGTATTGTGGTGTCTGAGGAGTTAAGAGACGATATTTACTTCACATTTATTTTTGCATTCTACAGGGAGTCATGATACCATGACCTACTGTTTGGATAAAAACTCTGCTGTTAGTGACAATGAATCAAAACTGGTGAATTTTTTAAATAAATGGATGCCCTGCATTGTACATCCTATTATTATGAAGTGGTCTACGACACAGGTAATCATTGTCTGACATTCCCAAGCCTGAACTTTGAAGTTTGTGCTGCAGTGAGGAGAGTGGTCATGTTCTCCTGTATCCGGTGAAAGAACACACTGCTGCCTAGAAATATGTGTTACCAAGAAATACTGTATTTGGGGTATATGTTAAGTCCCATTGGTTAAAAACAAAAATAAGAAACAAGCATGCAATACATACCAGATCTTCTTTTGTGGGGAAATAGATGAAGATGTTGTTTAAAATTTGCCACTTATACCTAGAAACTCCATTTCTTTCTGTCATATTTGTTGTTGCTATAAATAACATTTACTACTACTGTATTCAAAAAAAGGCTGGAGGTAAAAGGTTTTTTCTCTTTTTTTGCTTTGTTCATAAGGTGATACTTTTGCTGTCACTATTGTGTAAGATGTCAGCTGTTTTCCCCTGCTCTATTGTACATTTCAGTCAGCAGCAGTGACAAAATTCTTGTTTAAGATATTTTTTTTCCTTAAAGATTAAGGGAATGATGGTGTGGAACCCCACGTAAGTCTTAATTCGTTTTTTAGAATTACTACATTTAAAGTTAGCAGTTATCTCTTTCTGTTCTTCATAAGTGTATTGTTAAAGACAGAATTAGGGAATCACAATTTAAACTAGAGCTTTTGAAGGTATTTCTAAAGAGCAGGTGCTTTTGAAGATTTTTCTAAAGAACAGACTTTCACGGCATCAAAGAGGTACCAAAAATCTATTCACTTTTGTTCTTATTGAAGAAACAGTTCATTATTAGTGAATTAAAACTGAATAATTTATAAATGGCAATAATTATGCCTAGCCTTCTTGTGTTTGAGCAGCCCTGGCAAACTGGAGTCTCAGACACTATGACATATCAAATATGTAACAGCAGTAATCAATTGATATGGAATAGCACTCTTTTATCACAGTGTCTTTCCTTGAACTGCTCTTTGCTTTGTGACTTAAGCTAATGAAAGATTTAGATACCTACTGACTTGCAGGTTGCTTGGCTGATGAAGTGACCTTGGTGGAGACAAACAAGCTCCTTTATATCATTGCAATTCTTTTCTGGTCCGAACCCAGCTTGCTGAGCTGGAAGCAGCCCAGGACTAATCAGAGAAAGGCACAGCTGCAATCCTGCCCCTTCTTAGTGCTTCAGTGCTTGAGTCATGTTTGCAAGGAGGTGACTCCACCCATTGGTATCCAGACTACAGATCAAAGAATCCTACCTGTGGTAGGACCTGCGTATTCCTGGATGTCCCAGTTTCTGGGTGATGTCTAACTGCAGTTCTGGCTGTCATGGATGTTAATCCAGAAGTGCAAATCTTTACCTTACAATGGCTTTGATATTAGATGCTCAAGGCAGAGGCCACTCTTGCTCTAGATAGCTGATGTGAGATTGCAGTACTAAGCACCATCGCTACCTAAGGCCTTTTCTTAAATTTGGCCCTAGGGGGGATATTCACACGGTCCAATTTAGCATCTGAATTCAGGTGACTAATTAAGGAGTCTAATCTCTCTAGTTTTCCCATGCAGTCAACAGAAAGAAAGAAATTTGTGCAAAGGGCAATTCAGAGCAACTAATTAGTCTAGTGCTTTGATTGTCATGTGGAGAAGCCTTCCTCGCTTTCTCTCTCTAGGTCTTTTTCTTTCTCTGTCTCTTAGTCGTAAAGGGTATATGTGACCTACAGTCATACATAGAGCGCTCCAGCGCACTGCGTGCAAAGGTGAACTCGGGCATGGATCACTCCCACAGCTTATTCACCCTGAAGGAGCCAGGGCAGGGCTGGCAAGCAGGGAGGCAGCTGCTGCTATCTCCTGCAAGGCCGCTGGCCTGAACACTTGCAGCACCTGCGCTCCAGGGCACATGGGGCTGCATCCTGGCTCTGTAGCTTAGGCACCGCCTAGGGAGATCAAATTTCTAAAATCCTAAGAACGGAAAGTTAGAAGGTTAGTTTGGTTAAACTTAGGCAGGGTGAACATCCTGCAGTGTATCTAAGCGCTGTCTTGGCACTAAAGCTAAGAATGTAGTTATTCAGGCTCAGTGTCTTGTATTGATTTAGCTTCAGTTGAATCCCTACTGACTTAAAACAGTACAATATATTCTTCCTTCAAGTGTTGTCCATAAAAGCAGATTGAACTGAGACAAATCAGTTTTTAAACATATTCAATGAAACTGATTCTATTTTATTGTACAAAGAGAGCCTTGATATAAATAAGAGACTTATCATTTGGGACCTTTTGCCCTGGAAGCTCGACCAGATCATCCATTCCGTTTAGCCCTCAAAGTGAGCAGGACAGGTCTAAGGCAAAGTTAAAAGAAAAGAGAGTTCTGCAGGACTTTGACCAGATAATTCCAACTTTTTGAGATACTTTATCCTAAAAAAGCATGATAGCCAATACTTTCTTTCTGTTCTTATTTTTCCTTCTGTTGAGGATCAGTGAGCTCCACAGAGACAAGCTCTGAAAAGTCTTTGATCTAATAAAATAAATACAGCATTTCTAAGATGCTGATCCTGCAATTTTTGTTCATATGAAAAGTCTTATGAACAGTGATTGTGTGTTTATGCACGGGTTAACAGACCTTACACTTTCAGAACACAACAAATGCAGAGGTCTGAAATGAATCTGATCTTTATCATCTGGAGCATGTTCCACAGGAAGATTAGACTCCCTCTTGTCAGACAGTAAGAGAAATCAAAGTTACGACTTGGTGCCGTATAATGTAATCTAAAAGATGAAAGACCTATGAAAAATGTCACAGGGCTAACTTCACATCCTTCTTTCAGTTTCTACAATAAAGGAACATATCCCTTCCAAACTCTCAAGATCTTTGTTTTCTGTTTAACCATTCAGGAACTGAATGTGACAGAGCAACTTGAGGCTGGAGTTAGATATTTGGATTTTAGGATTGCCCACAAGGCTAACGATCCATCTATGAATTTGTACTTCGTGCATATGCTTTACACGACTGTTACGGTTCAGGTATTGTCCTTACCTTTGGAATAATGGCTATATGGTACCACTTATTTTATTTAAAAACAGAACCGTCTTTCTTACTCTGAGAATGCTGGCCCTTTGTAGGTTATTTATTTTCCTAATGTGAGGACTTCAAACTAGAACATATCTGGAGGGCTGGTTATTGGACTGGAAGTTAGTTTCAGCACTTGCAAGTAATATTTCAGCACCAGTCAGTTTCTCATCCTCATGCGGGAATTATTGTGCCTTGCTCTCTGCCGCCAACCTTTTACCAGGTGGCTGATGTTTCCAGGGTTTGTCTTGTGCTGCCCGGGGATGCTACCCTGGGCAGTCCTGTTTCTTCAGTAGGGAGAGAAGTTATTAACAAGAAGAAGCTGTTAAAAGCCTAATAAAATCACAAAACCTTTTTTTTTAAGGAAAAAGTATTTCACTGAAAGACAGAGAGCTGAGTCTTCACTCCATGATCATATTACTCTCCGCTGTTAGAAATTACTGCGTTGCTCTTCCGCGTGCTCTCTCACTGAGGACTATGTTACGTTTTATTTATATTTGCTGGGCTCTGTGCAGCTGGTTACAGCTGAATGCACAGCCAGCTTTTGCAGCTTTTGGTTTGCAGGGTAACTAGCTAAACTTCAGTTTTATGATCATGAGTTTGACATCCTGTGTGTCTTAAGATTTCACGGTGATTGGCGTATTCCTATAGACTCTGACTACCCTGCTAATTGCATGTGATTTACAAGAAGATCTCACTGCCTGCAATGAATGAGCAAACAGGTCCTCTCACGATTAAGCAAGCACAAATCTCTTCCCTCTTTCTGAGTTTTCCACTAACACATAGTTTGTCCTTAAAGATTGGAACAATGAGTCTACTGCTAACCTGTCTTTCTGAAGTAAGAAAGTCATGGATATTATCAAAATACAAAGTCACTAAATATACCAGGCTGGATCCGTGCCCACAGCAAATCAGCACCGATTTGCAGAAAGTCATTTCTCCTGGCACGTATCTCTGTGGAAGAGCTGGTAGACTGCCAGACAGCCATTCTCCAAAAGCCTACGCTGATTTTTATTGCAGTGATTCTGCCCTGTCATGAACGCTCAGTTTGTTTTACTTCCTTTCCCCTGCATATTACAAAGTATTTTCTAAGTTGCCATGATTCTCTTTTGTAGGATATTCTGTGCGAAGTCGTAAAGTGGTTGGAAACTCATCCTCAGGAAGTTGTTATCTTAGCCTGTAGGAATTTTGATGGATTAACCAAGAAGCTTCACTGTCATCTCATTGCCCGCATAAAAGAGATTTTCCAGTGTAAACTGTGTCCCAGAAATGTAAGTATGAGATCTTTTCCCCTCCCTTTTTAAAAGGATGATATAATACACTATGGTGAGGTATTTAACTGATTCAGAATCTTTTATATATTTTTCTACCTTCACTTCCAGCAAGTAACACTTGCTGGATCAGAGATTAGGTCTTTACTTAGTAAGTCCTTCTCCAGATGACTCTAGGATTTCACTCACTCACTTGAAGCAGGAGATGAAACAAACCCACAAGCCATGGTGGGAAGGGGGAACTACTGACTTTTGGGACTATAGAAGGGATACGACTGCCATCCGCCGTTCTGTCTGAGTTTTGCCAAAAAAAGAAGAAGAAGAAGAAAAACTTTATAACAAAGTCCAGACTATGGAAAGGGCGTTCAGTTCCAGTTGGAGTTGACTTCCTTGTTCTATTGACAGACTTCAGAACAATCCCTGTTCTGCCTTTTCACAGCAATAATTATGAGTTAACTGCAATGGTATTTAGTTATTTAAAATAATTGAGATTAGAAGTGATCTCTGGAGGTCATCTGATCCAACCCCACCAGACAAAGCAGGACCAACTTCAAAGTTAGATTAGGTTGCTCAGGGCCTCGTCCAGTCCAGTCCAGTCTTGAACAGCTCCAAGGATGGAGATTCCCCATCCACAACCTCTCTTGGCAGCCTGGTGTAGTGTTTGATCACTCTCAGAGTGAAATTTTTCTTCTTATATCTAATCAGAATTTCTCTTGCTGCAGCTTGTGTCTGTTGCCTTTCATCCTTTTGCTATGCGTCTCTGAGGAGAGTCCAGCTCTGTCTTCTCTACATCCACCCATCAGGTGTTTGCAGACAGCAATAAGGTCCATCTATCGTCTTCTCTTCAGGCTAAACAGACCCAGTTCTCTCAGCCTGTCCTCAGCGTGGTGCTTTAGCCCCAGTCACCCTGGCTGCCTGCTACTGGACTCGCTCCAGTATGTCAATGACTTTTTTTGTACTGGGGAAGCCCAAACAGGACACAATACTAAAGAGACAGTATCTTAAGTGCTGAACAGAAGGGAAGAATTAGTTCTCTTGGCCAGTTTGCAGCTGGCCTTTGTCACAAGGTGGTATTGCTGCCCAGTGTTTGACTTCTTGTCCACCAGGAGCCCCATGTTCTTTTCTGCAGAGCTGCTTTCTAGGCACTTGCCCCTCACCTGTCCTGGTGTGTGGTGTTACTCCATCCTACATGTGGGACTTTGCCTTTGTTGAACTCCATGAGGTTCCTGTTAGCCCATTTCTCCAGCCTGTTGAGGTCCCTCTAAATAGTAGCCCTGCCTTCCAGATCATTTTTATTTCTTATGCTTGTGCCCACCTCACAACACTGCTGTCTAGTGCTTTTTGTTCAGCTGTTGAGTAAGTGTGCACCACAAGCTGTAGTAGAGTTTTCTGCATGCTGCTGTGTCAGTGTGTGCCACCTGTATTCCAGAAGAGGTGGCATATAAAGGAGAGGGCCAGTTTCTACTTTCTGAATCAGGATCTCTCTCTGCTATAACTGCCAACAAGATACTAATTGGTACCAAAGTTTTTGTGCCATATAGATGTGTCTACTTAAAAAAAAAATGGGCTGACAACACACTCTATATATAGTCAGGCAACAGCTGCACTGGTGGCATTGACTTTCTTTACTGGACTTCAGCTGGAGTTGACCTTCCAACCACACTAATGATGTGCTTTCATTCACTGAAACCTGCGGCAAAGTGTTAATTTAAATAATCAAAAATTACGTGATTGTTAAATTCTAGGAACTTAATCTTCCTCTATATACTAGGTGTGGGAGCTTTTAGCGGTCAAACAATTAACATTTCAAAGATGCACAGGAACAGAGAGTTTTCTCTGGAGATGCGAAGGCTACAGGATAATGCTGACCCTGTTTGCGATTCGAATTAAGCCTTTGAAGCTAGTGTATCGGTAACAGCTGAGCATTACCATTTCAAAGCATTTTGTACAGCAGAGTTAAAATAGAACAATTCTCAGCAAAATTAGAGGATTCTGAGTCAAATTTGCATTCAGACACATGGTTGGCTCTAAAAGTTATTAACTGTAAGAGGGGCAAGCTGTTGCTGAGAGTTTGTTGAACTAAAGTGATAACAAATGAGTTTGAAATCACTCGACTGTACAAAGGAGACTGTTTCTGAGCTGTGCTCAAAGGGAAGGAGGAAGGACACTGCAGAAAAGAGAAGTCAAGTATTTCCCTCATGCTTGAAGACTACATATTTGCAGGGGTCCGTGACCAGCACAGTGGATCTTTTGCATGTTAGGCAGCACTTGGGCTTTTCAGAATCACAAAAATGCCACCTGTCCTACATCAAATACCACATACTTGTTCACGATTTTTAAAATAATCTCTTGGATTTCAAGACCACAGCTCCAGTACTGTGCAAAAATAAATGACAAAGTACCTATGAAGCATTTTTGTAAGGAGAGCTCTGTTAAGTAGTACTGGTGCAGGCCACAGTGGGACAATATTACATTGTGTTTAAAATTTTAATTGCCTTGACTGTTCAAGTTCTTTGATTTGGATTATTAGGATTTAAAAATTCGTTGTCAGACATCTACAGTTTCATTTCTGTTTTGTTTGCACAATAAGCATCTGTGGTCACGTATACATTTCTGGGTTTTTTGGCCTCTTACCTCATTTTTGGTTTTTAGAAAGGTTCCAAGCTGAAAGCTGTAGTAAAGCAAAGGCCTCGGTCAAGTACAGAATTTTGTAGCTCATGAGTAGCTTCCTTATGTCTTAATTCTTGCAGCATTTTCTGACCTAATTGGACTCATACACGCTCTTTCTTGGATGAAGGTAGAGGAATACCTATGTTCATTCAATCCCTGGCTCTCTTCAAAGGTTTGCATTAAAAATTTGCAACATTGGCCTTTATTTTAATTAATAAGTTCATTGGACCGTAATAAAAACATCATTTCCTTTTCACAAGCAATTTCCTTTTCACCACCAAAATTCTTAAAAAAACCAATGTTTGTTAATTTAACGTATTGTTTTTTTGCAAATGTAATAGTCAGAGGGCCAGAATTCTGTCTGATGGCAGCTTCTGAGGATAGGACAATATTATTGCATACGGAAACATTTTAATTAAAGACTTGTATCAGAACATCTTTTTTTCTTAGGTTTCTGACTCAACTGTCAGTTTTAGACACCTTTCCCTTACACGAATCAGAATTAACATGTCTCCATGTACTATTTTGCCTTTAATGAAAAAGTGCGTTGCAATAAAAAAAAATCATATTTAGTCTCATATCGTCAAAACAGTTTGATTTTTTCATGAATGTCTAATTATAAGGAGACATCTGAATCACTTACGCGACAGCTGCCAAAAGTATTTCTGGTTCTCTGCATCTATATTCCTATAGAGGGGTGTACCGATTCATCTTCCTCCTAGCTCCTTTTAAAGAATACCTGTCTTTATCTCCTGCATTTATTCAGAGGTGATACGTGTAGGAGTGCCAGCATGGGGATGGTTTCCTATTAAACAGATGCCCAAATGTAAACATGTACTTTAGCTTAGTTACTTTGTTAAAGTAAAGGAGTTGTCCACATTCCACTGCAGCTCTCAAGCTCCTATTGCTATTACAGACCCTGATTAGCATTAAGCAGCTTGTAATCCAGCCAGCAGCCTCTCTGGCTACGAGTTTAACAGCATTATTTGAACTGAATCTGCGTCCATTAGGACAATTTCACACTTCGGCATTTGAGCTGTGGGAACATTGCTGTAGAGTTATCTTGCAGGTCCCAGCTGACTTCCAACACGGATGCGATTTCTTTCAGGTGGTGCCGACACTGCGGACCATGTGGCAGTGTGGGTATCAAGTGATAATCTCGTATGAAGAGGAGATCCTAGTGAAGGAGCACTGTGAACTGTGGCCTGCGATTCCATACTGGTGGGGAAACAAAACTGCCACTCGTGAACTAATCCAGTATTTAGAATGCATGAAGCAGATAGGCCGTCCAGGTATGTACAGTGAATGACTCCAAGGAAACTAGGGGTGCTGACAATAACGCAAAACAATTAGAACTAATGAGCTGGGAGTTCATAGCATTAGCAATGTAACAGCCAGTTTTTAAATGCCATGCGTGCCAAATGTTGCCTTGTTGTTGAGCAGTCTACTCACCCACAGGTGAGTGCAACAGGCATTTTTGTCTTCTCTTGTGCAAAAGCATTCATACGTACACAGGCTATGTAACTTGTGGCAGCCACTTCACTTATGTGATCACAGGGAAAAGACCCCCTCCCCCAACACAAAACACCTGGCTCTATCATGCCATTGTCAGCATGAAAAGCTCTGAAAAGAAACTGCTTCCCGATTCCAGTGGTTGCTAGCTTTATACCAGTTGAGACGGCTCTTATTATGAGGGAAGTGTATTATGCTATCATTTTTGTGAAAAGAAATTGCTAAAAGAATGGTACATGAAGGCTGCAGCTACATTAGCAAATAGTGGAGCTCCACAGGAGTGGATCTGTTGAGTGAAACAGTCAGTTCTGCTGGACCCGCTGCTGGTGTATTTTGGGGAGGGTTCACTTTGGACTACTTCTTGTCCAGTCTCAGCTGGTGGACTGAAAACCCTATTAGGATGCTGGTGTAGTCTGAGCTGAAAGAAATTCTGTTGTTAACCTTTGACGCTGTTCTGTGATGTGAACGCAAGGGGTGAGGGAGGGAAGAACTGCTTCAAACGCACGCTCCTGTGATCCAAAGAAAAATGCTGACGTAGATGCGCTTGTGTTCCTACACACGCTAGTCATTTGGACGCAACTTTTACGAAAACAAACTTTTACAAAGGAAGACTAGTCTGCAATGAATAATTTAGACAGAGCTCAAACTGGAATGCTTCAATACATGAGCTGTGTTTTAATAACTGTTTAGCATGGCATACAGCTGCAACAAAGGAAGACAATCTACTGAAGTAATTTTAAATAGAGTGGAACAATAGAGAAAGATCCTAAAGTTAGTATTTTAATGATTCCCAGAGAAGCTAGATCTGGAGTTCATGCAATGCTGAGCAGCTTATAGTCTCGTCAAAGGAATATCTAACGTGTCACCTTCTGATTTTTGTTTCAGGAAGATTCTTTGTAGCAGGGATTAACCTTACTGAAAATTTAGCATATATTCTTGTACACCCATTTGGATCATTGAAGAAAATGACACTCCAGAATCTTGCATACCTGAAAATCTGGGTAAAGCAACAGTATCCAGGACCAAAAAAAGAATGTATTAACATCATTGCTGGGGACTTCATAGGAAATAATGACTTTGTCAAAGATGTGATAGAACTTAACACAAAAATTAATCCTCCATTATACTGTCATAGCAAAGGGGCTGGAGGAAATACCATTTCATTCTCAGCTTCTTAATCTTTAAAAAGACTGTCTACGTTTAGTGTTTCCTGCTTTAAATATCCTGGACTACATAAAGGACCAATTAACTTAAACTAGGGACGTTTTCAAGACTCAGTAAGGAAACTCAGTATCATTAGGGTTTAACAGCCTTTTCACAGAAAACTGAAGAGAGGAGGAAGACCTTGCTGAAGTTTCCAGAGAACTTCATTATAGGTATAATTTACTGGGAAGTGCTTAGTTTCTGCACAATCGCTAATAGTGACAGTCCCAAGAACTGAATCCTATTTTGATTTATTTTATATTTGAGTAAGAAAGATAAATATAACCTATATGTATGAATTATTCAGTGATCAGACTTTATTTTCCTTATAACTTCAATTAACGTCGAAGATATTCTGCACCTGCTCACAAGCTGCATTTCTCAGTATTTTATATCTGTGTGAAACTGACTTGTCTGTTTTCATAGTTTTGTGTTAAATATAAAACATAAACAGTTTAAAAATATTTTTGATATATCACAGATAGTTCATCAGCAATCCTATTTGACATGATTTTTTTATATACATCAATACATCATTAGCATCGGAGATCCAGCAGCGGCTGTACTGTTGTGTGCTGAGTGTCACTTGTGAACTACTTCACCGAAGTCACAATATTCTCCTCATTTTATAAAAGATGCGTATGTTTGAAGACTACTGTTACACTTTTTATACATTCATGCCAGTACTACATACTGGAAGTAGGCCCTAGACAGTTTTGCCCACTGTTTTATTAGGAGCTGCTAAGGACCCTTTACATAGAAAAGAAACACACACAGAACTAGCGCCTGATGTACACATGGCCTGCTCTAAAAATACAGTTTTTTGGCTTTTGTCATGCTCACTTGGGTTTTATAACTTTATAACTTTATTTACCTATTTTAGTAGCTCTAAAGTTATTTTTCATCCCAATAAATGTTTTAGGCTTATGCAAAAACTAAGTGTTTTATACCGCTTGCCATTGCACATTAATTCTATTTTTCTTATTTTTTAAATGAACTGTGCAATAACAGACGATCATGAAGGTAACAGAACCGGCATGTATCAAGAATAAAATGAAGCAGGTGCTGTATAAAAAGCTCACTGTGCAGCTTCATCAGTATACCTCACTTTTTAGATGCACTTTATATGCAAAAACCGAGTTCAAGTGTCTGGTAAGCTGTTCACATTTGCAGTAGATATTTGCAGAAGTACGAAATCAACTGTTACTTGACTTAAATAATCAAACTTACCTTAGGCTTCTCGAAATGAAAGGCTAAGATGCTACCTCCTCATGCAATTTCCCACAATGAAAGGCTACGTGGGAGCCAAGCAAACGTTCCACTTTAAAGGCCATCTTTCTAAATGCTGTTTTACAGCGCTTTTTAGCCTTGTTCTCATCTCTGTTTACTTTACGCACAGCAGTCGTTCAGTTTGACTTTTTTAAGAGTCACCACCTGCATTGCAGTGCTATGCTATACATACTTAGAATGTATTTCTATATATCTTCTGTACCTAAAGTGTCTTGTTACTTTACCTAATAAAGCTTGATCTATTTGTTCAATACAGATTGAAATACAGTTTTGTTTCTCATTTCTGTGGTACTGGTTGTTTTATTGGTTTCCAGTAATTCCTAACTCAGGTAATGGATCAGGTTTTGGTATTTTTCTTTTGTGAAATACTACTTTCACCTGCAATCCATGCCTCACGGCACCTTAAATGTTTTCTCTTTAAGAACTGCTATAGTAACGGGTACTGCAAATAAATTACTGTTTCCAAGAGTACTGTATGGGTGAAAGCTGTTCACAGGTAACTTCATTTTTTCCTTAAACTATACAAATCTGTGTTTTCTGCTTCAGTGCAGTTAGATATGGCAGCTGTTTTAAGTGAATATGCGTTCAATCAAAATGCATGAATCTATATGATTATTTAAATAAGGCCAACACTGTTTTCTTTGTTAATGTTCTTCTCCCAATCAGCTACTGAGACACCTGGACATAATAAATACTATTTTATTGTGAAAAATTGGACAATGTCAGTGTATCAAAAACCTCAAGTGGATAAGAAATGCACTCTTTGCAACATTTGAGCTATCAAGTCATTAACTTAATTTCAAATGCTCTTAATGAGATCAGTTTCTTCTTCCAGAAAAGGAAGCAGTTTAGGCAGAATTACTGATTATCACCTTCACACTGGCTGTGCCATCTTCAGGTGTGACTTCTACTTCCTGAACTGTTGCTTCTTTATATAGCCAACTGTAAAAATAAAAGCTTGTCAGCATCTTCAAGGTATTCCACGTCACATAAAATATGGTCTTTGTTTTAAGTCAACTAGGGGATATTTATACACGTTCTAACATAGATAATTTCACACTTTGAAAGACGACATGCTTCAATGAACTTTCCATTTGCTATTTGCTGTTCTGAAACAAAGCATAATTTTTTCATAATTCATGCAGATTTGTGTTTTTATCAGAAATGTGGCTCTAGAGCCAGTGAAATAATCTTTCAGGAGGTTTGTTTTCGCACACTAGCACTCGAACTCTGCAGGACACTGTGAAAAGTAGGGTCTGTGGGGTCTATGGGTCAATATTATTTCTTAGTAAGTTAGAAAATTTCAAAAAATATCGCTGTAACTCTTATCACAGATCAAAGTAAGTATGATATAATTTGACAATTTTAACACATACAAAACCAAGAGTTTCCTATTTGTCAAAGTCCTTCTTACAAGACATAATTATTTACCTTAACTGAGGTCCCTCTAAGTTGATCTTAACTGTCAGAATCTTCTTCCCCGTTGCTTTCAAAATTCTTTTCTCTATTTCTTCTTTCAGCTCTTCTAAGCCATGCCCATGTAAAGCAGAAATGGCTAGAGCACTTTCTTCAGTGGGTTTATACCTGAAAAGCAAAAATTGCCAGTAGACTTGCTCCTAACTCTAGAATGTTTTAATACTCCAAATACAGACTACCTTTCTGTGTATTTCGTACTGGTGCCTTCCTACAGAACCAGAAACTTCTATGACTCAAGTCTTTCCTTTTAAAACTAAACAATTATGAGTTCTTTTTTATAAGCATACATAAAAAATTGAGAAACACTATTAAGTATATGTAAAAGCGTGCAAACTATTTTCCAGACTAAGAATTAAAGAGTTTCCAGAACATGAGAAATGTTAGGTATACTTACCACCTCCTGCTTACCTTTCTATCAAATCCACTTTGTTATGAACTTCTACCATTGATTCCAATAAGTGGCTGGGAAGATTAAGATTCTTCAGAACTGACAGAACACTTGCTTTCTGGAGGACAGCTTCTGGATGAGTAATATCTCTCACATGAACTATCAGATCCTAGCAAGCATCAATACACAAGACAAGTACATATATGATTAGAGCTCTGGCAAACCTAAGCCAAATGTAAATAGTAAGTTTGCCATGTTTTTAAAAAAACAACCAAACTCAATATTTATATTCAAGCTGTTTCAGCATCTTTGCTTAAGATATTGCTGCAAACATCTGAAAATTGTAGTGAAAAGTGAATTTCTTGCCTTTCATTTGACGTTTCAGAATAAAAGACAAACAGGATAGTAGCAGCCAGCTTTTAAAAGTCCTGCCATTGTACGGTTAAAGTCCAATCCTTCGAAGAATTCAGGCATTCAGCTATCGCTGATTTCATTACCTTTGAGGATATAGCCTACGCTGTTTAAATGTCTGTGTGTATACGCAGCTTTACGCTTTGTTTGGTGTACTTTAATGAGTAAATGATAGGAAAAGCACATTAACATTTATTACATGCTGCCTGCATCACACTACAATCATCCACTTCTAGTGCTGTACGAAACCTATGTAAAAATATATTCTTCTAGAGGCTTTCTTTCATTCTTTTTTCCTCAAGAAAGCTAGACTAAACTTATTCCAATGCACTGTCTACGTTTTCACATATTTAATCATCAGAATCTTATTTAGGTACTATGGAAAAGGACACATACTCTGAATAAAACACTCTACAATCTTTTCATATTTATACATTCTGCATAATTTCAAGTGCCAGAAAAGTGACTTATAGTAAGATATTTACCTAATATTTATTATCTTAGATGACTATTACAGTCAGCCAGATATTCCAGTTAACTTCCTGTTTTCTGAGGGGGTGAAGATTATCCAAAAGAAAATGTGTGTGTTCTCAGTTTTTTTTTTTTTTTTTTTTAAAGTCAAGTACTTACTGAGTAAGCAACTTCTTCTAATGTAGCTGAGAAGGACTCAACCAGATTATGGGGAAGATCAGACAGAAACCCAATTGTGTCAACGTAAATAACTGCCATACGTGAGGGCAGAGAGCCAGCATGGGCTGTAATATCAAGAGTGGCAAACAGCTGATCTTTAGGTTGAAGTCCTGCTTCCCCAGTCAAGGCCTTGATCAAGGTGGTTTTTCCTATTTAAGAAAAATAATAAAAAAAAAAAGATTGAAGAAACGTTAATGGCCTGTTTCAAGTAAAATTTTAATTCACAAGGCTCAGGTAAGTGTACGATACAAGACCTTTTCATCTCTAGCTCACTAATTTAGATCTAGCCTATGGTGACTCATCTATATGATGCTGTGAAGTCAGAAGACAATCGTGGCCTTTGTGACTTGGAATTGTATTTAAGGTCATTTCTGGAAGCTATGCTGCTAAAGCAAAAGTTGATCAAAGGCTGAACTGACCTGGAAAATGACCTATGTACATGTCTCACCTCTAAGACTGACTGAAGAATGCTGACATGACATTAGGAATCTTTCACTGATGCACATCTGAGTGTGTCTGTTCTCAAATCATATGAACCTTTACTAGTTAAATCCAACAAAAATCAGCAGCACTAATGATATTTACTTCATTAGTTTTATGCTTTTATTAGATGGTTCATCATGAACATAATACTAGAGAGATTTAATTGTTTTTGAATATTTCACAGAACTTACAGTTATTACACTAAGGTGGCTCAGTACGTATTATAGTTGAAGTAATTCAGTGATGTGCAAAATTACAATATATTTGAAACTGCAGTTTTAAAAGCACGGAAGTGCGATGGCTAAGAAAAACAAAGTGGAACTCAAAACCTATGCGTATACAACTGATAATTATACTAGTGTAAGGTAAGTTTTTTTATAAAGATGTTGAATAATAAAATGAAATAGTTTTAAAATAACGTAACCTGAACAAGTGTCTAGTCCAAAGCCAATTTATGCCTTGTGTATGAATTTACTTGTGTAATCTATAAGAAACAAAAAAAGTTATTTTTTTATTTACATTGTTACGGACACATCTCAGAACAATATATATTAGTCAATGTGAAAAGCTACAGCGCTTCTCAGAGCAACTGACAGCTCTCCTCAGTTTTCTTCTTATGCTTCAATCCTTCCCAGTGCTCTAAAAACCCACCTACTTCTCTCTGCTCATTCTGACCAACTAATACAGATTCGTATTAAGCCACACGACCCTTTTCTGCACTATGTGTAGAACCCTTTTGACACAATAGAAGCTCGGCAGCTCTCCAAAGCATGGCTTGAACACTGCAGAAAATCTTACTAGAGGACCATTTGCTTTCCTAACAAGGTCCTCATTGACGTAAATTCATTACACAGTCTAAAAACTAATTAAAATACAAAGCCTATTAACACTGAAAAACACTGAAAACACTGAATTCTGGCAAGAGCTTCAATTAAAAACTAGACAACGCAAGCTTTCTTGTGTTACAAATTTCATGAGTTTTTGCTTACCGCAATTAGTATAGCCCATTACTGAGATAATCGGAAACTCGCGTCTTTTACGTTGACTTCTAAGTATAGACCTTTTTCTTCTTAGCTTCTCCAGGGCATTCCTAACTTTAAGTTCTTTTTCTTTCAAGAGACGATTCTGTGTCTCCATGAATGTCTCACCTGAAAAATACAAACTGATAATTGGCAGAATAATCTACAAGAGATGCAGTAAATTAAGTGATGTTGTGTAATTATTTGGAAATTGAGTAAGTCAGCAGTGTGGAATATGAAGTTATAAATAGGCAAATGAAACTATGTATTCTTGCCTAAGATAGAATCAGTGATAAATAATTTTTAAAAGATATGCTAAGCGCTCTAGAATAGTCATGTGCACGTAGGATTAACTGTTGTGGCAGCAAATATCTATTATAAAATTATTATAAATTTCCTCTCTGTTCATGAGTCACTCACTGAGTCAGTATAGATCAAAACTTTATTATGGTCGCAATTTAAGTTACCTTCCAATATACTCTCACTCAGTAAAGATACAGCGCACAAACTTTCCTCCTGGCCCTTCTCAAATAAAATACAATGCAATTAAACCTGTTTAAAGGCTACAAAGAAAAATCCTCTAATTCATGAGAATATTTAGACTTTACCTGAGCCCATGATGTATCTTGATCCACCTCTCTGCTGATCTAACTGAGATACCTCGTTTTTCAGATTTGACCTGGCAGTGGGGTAATATTTAGTTAGAAGCAATATTCTTTAATCAAGCTATCATAAAACACCGAACAAACGTGAAACAGCAGTGATGATCTAACAGTATATACCAAAACACTACAAGCAGATATCTAAATAAAACTTGCCAAGGCAAGTGTGTATGAAACACATAATTATCTACAAACGTTAATCCAGTTCCTACATATTCTTGCAAACCATCTTCCAGATTGGAAAGAATCACTAACTGCTTCTGTAGAAAGGTATTTTGCAAAATTATCTATTGAACAGCATGGGGTTTCGCCTGTCAACAATGCTGGAGCTTAAAGCAATGAGGTTAAAGAAAATATTTCTATATTCTAATTAATCACTGAGCATATAATATAAACACCAAAACTGTAGCCTTTTTCTTTATGGCACAGTATTACCTTTCTTGTTTCTGTAAAGAAATGGATACCAAACTATAGAAATATCAGTATGCGATTGCACAGCTGAGGTACCTGAGAAGCGGAATTTCAGCCAATGCTATTTGAAGTTTTGCCTCCTTAGTCCGGGCGTTGCAACGAAAAATATGAAGCACAACTGTGTATCTGTCAAAAACTTTCACGCCCCAGGCATCTTCCAGTTCTTTCTTTAGTCATGTAAGACAAAATAACCTAAATGTTTTCTACCCCCAACAATACCAGCAAATCAATTTGTATACAGCACTGTATTTGTCGTTACAGCTAGCTGATGGAGATTTGAACTCAGAGAATCACAGGACTCCTTTTCAAGGGACTGGCAGTGATCAGAAGCATGTAAAGCAAAATTCTGGTAGGCTAGGAAGAAAGAAAGGTGAAAGGTGAATTTAAAAGCTAAATCTTTATGTTCTGAGTCAAGGCCCACATATTTCAGTGGGAACCCTCCTATTGTCTTTAACAGAGTCTCACAACAGCTTTTACAGTAAAACTCATAGCATTAGAAGAATCAAGAATCTCAGTGGTTAAATCCTTACAAAAAACTATTGTGAAATGCTTGTACAGGAAAGGATAGGGATAATAAAGGAAAAGATTACTGAAATAAAAAAACAGGAAAGAGGAAGGTAGGAAAATTATTTCATAACCAGCCCCACAAAAAAGCTTTTAAAAAAAAGTTCTAATACCTTAAAAGACACTTAAAGAATGCAAGTAGTTCCCTTTCCCCATCTTTACAACACATAATGCTGTTTTCATAAATGTATTCACAAACTTTCTTGAATTAAGATTCTGGTAAGCTGTATTTAAGATCTGCAGTCTTAAGAACTCATACTATAAGTCAGAGAAGAAAAACTAGAAAATTTTATTTAAATATTTTCGAATTCCATTCCATCAACAAATTCATCAACAAATTGAAGTGTTCAACATAGTTTACTACCTCTATTCATTTTATAAGCCAGTAAAAGCATTCAAAACTACCTCCAAAGAATGTTTGCTTGCAGTGCTTGCACTCCACACCCTGCATGATGCTATACATGTAAAAACTAAAAAATGTATTTTTTCAGTGCTTGTCTAAGTATTTAAAAAAGCATCTACAGTTCATGCGTCAGTTGTCTTAACACCATATAAAATGTAAAAAAAAAAAAAAAAAGAAAAGAAAAATAAGTGAAGCATGCTCTCCCCCACCAGGTCACCTGTCCATTTTAAATATATTTTCTTTTTAAGGATGAGGACTGTAAGTGTAATAATTTCAAAAATTCAAATATAGACTTGCTTTGAATAGAGAACTGATATTCAAAATACAGTACAGCATCCATACAGCTACAGAAAATAAATACAGCATCCATATACCTACAGAAAGTATGTGCATATATCTAATGCAAAATCTTTACATTTCTCACAACAGCGGTTGTGTTGTTAACCTCATTTTGTTTAAAAAAAGGCCATAAACAAATTTTCCAACATTTTATGTGAAGCCAGTGGAAAAGATGGGCATAGAGCCTATATTAAATGGCTATCAGGCTGCTGTAAAATTTTATACGCAACAGCTGAATATAACACCGAACAAATTTAATCAGAATTATGTTTCCTTTAAAAGCAATAAAACTCAGTCCAGTCGGTTTTAAATATTACCATTTGCGAATTCAGAGTCATAACTGACCTTCCTTTTCATAACATCAGTATTTTTCCAAACAGTATTGAGGTAAAGAATATAATTCGATATTATATTTAATTACCTTGGTTAACGAAGACATTCTTTCCACATTCAAGAAGACAGCTGTCAGATGGGGCAATTTTTTAATCTTTTCTAAAAGATGGATAATCATTACAAAATAGTATTAAATGTCAACTCTCTTTCTAAAACAAACAGAATATAAAATGACTTTTCACTGAAAACAGCGGTAATAAAATATCAAATGGTATCATATTCTTTGTTCACAGAACAGTGTATTGGTATTGATTTAGTATAATGTCAACATCACTTTCATGCAAGCATTACCTGCATCACTTAAATGCAGGTACTAAGTTGCCTACACATTTTAAGCGAGTATGGATTATTTCTATTCTGCATACTTTTTGTAGCCTTTAAAGAAGTACTGTTTAAGTCTGTTTGTAAACCTGCCTAATGGATAAACACATTTGTACCTCTCTTCAGCTTTTGTACTGATCTTCGTACAGTTCACTTACAGAAGTTCTAACGTTTAGAATGATGCACTGCTGAAAAATCGTGGTCCTTACCTGTCAAAACCTGAAAATTTCCTTTGCCAAAAATGAACTTCTTATCAGGAGTTTTTGTAGGAATAATTATTTTATCTAAAATTGTCCAGTTCTGAAGGGTATCCACAAGAGCAACAGCTTCAGCCATCTGTAATTCAGCTTCAGGATTAGACAAAAAGAAAGACCATAACATACCATCATAACTCTCTATACAGATTTCCAAAAACTGTAGTACATGCACAAACAGGGAAAAACCTGAACTACACTGAAATTCCAGTAGTGCTTTTATTTTAATCAGTAGCGTAGGGCAGGAAATAGCTAACTTCTAATTACAGTAATTAAATTCCTAGATTGATGCAATTTTACCACATAAAGCATTTTTTTGCTAATACAAATTATTTCTAGGCTGGCTGATTGGGCAAAATTTTGAATTGCGTACTCAACACAGAAAGCACCCAGCTTTTTGCTTCATTCTTAAGAAGCTGAACAAGTAATTAGTCGAAAAATGTATACTCTGTTGTTTTAGATGAGCACTGAACCACGTGAATAATTCGTTAATGTTTTGTGGCAGTACTTAAAGAATTCCTAATTCTGCATATCTTGCTGCCAACTTCACTACTACTTATTCATAGAATAAGAACCTACACTAAATTCTGACTTGGTAAAAACACAGCAAATTCCAGCACTGTATTCTGGTTCATTAGAATAGTGTTTTGGTTCTTTTTTTCTTTCTTTCTTTTTTTTTTTTTTTTTTAAAAAAAAAATCTACATTGCATAGCACTGATATAAGGGGACTTCAGACAACTATAGGGGCTATTAGGGCAAATCAGATCAGTGGATCAAGCTGAATTTGCCAAGTAGGAATAAGACCTTCTTTTCATAGCAGTTTAATCGTGTTCCTCTAGATAGCAAAATACATTTGATGTATTAAACAGATTACCTTGGTCCAAAAGGTAATACATTATTAAAGTAACCTTGATTCTTTCTCCTCATTTTGTCAGTGTTCCTTTTAAAAAGCACACATTTTCTGCTGTACTTGAGAGGTTTCAAGAACCATTCCAAAACATTTGTTCAGACTTCAGGCTCTTCATCTGGAGGGCCTAAATAAATGGAAAGGGGTCACTGCTATTCTTTTGTATTTCTGGATAGAAAGGTGCCCTCATAATTTTTTTTTCCAGTTGTAAAATGGGAGCACAGTACAAAAGTATTAGAAAATGCCTGCTCAGTGTTTTATTTAAGTATTGAATTAAATCCTGAAAAGGTTACAGACTTTATTCTGCAAAGTAACAATTTGTTACTGTTAGCAGCAGTAATAAAACAGAATGAAATTTAGGTTTATAGCATAAACAACTTGAATACAAATAAGTATGAGAAGGCATGTCAGACATAAACTGATATATAAGATAGCTATATGCATATATATATATATATGTGTGTGTATATATATATTTATAGCTAAGCTACAGATTATTTAATTCTTTCTGATAGAACTTTGCATTAGAGAAGTGTTTGGAGAGGAATCATCAAAGACAAGCTCCTCATAAATTTTAAATGTGCAGGTACGATAAACGCATATGTATTAGCTAGCTACAAGGATTTGAGAGAGAAATCTAAGAGTAGCAATGCTAAATAAGGCCCTGATAAATGCATTATATGTGAATGGGCCTAAGTAACAGCCTAAGAGCCTCACCTTCACTGCAGTGTTTTCTACAGACAGAAGAGTATTGCTGTTCTTAAACCAACTTCCAGGCAAATCTTAAGGTTGAAGGGCCCCTCTCTACCTGGCCACAACTGAAGGCTACCAGCATTAGGCTAACAAATGAGAAACCTGGCTATTCCCTGATGCAAGCTAAACACTACCAAGTTGTTTTGCAGTCTAAGACCCAAGGTTAGCAAAATTTACAAGTCAAAGTATAGACCTGCAAAGAGCCACTGTTCTCTTTTAAAAAGTACTCGAAGAAGAACACACTGATCTAGACCCCCGCCTATTCTGAGTTTACATTTTGCTAGCAGACCCCGAAGTACATTAGCGGCATTAACGCCTTTATTCCTGCGGACGTTACAGGTCTAGAGTTGTAGAAAAATAAAACAGCGAGCGGTATCGGCAAGGAGAGACAGAGAGGCATCCTGCCTAGCGGAAGCTCCCTAAGGCTAAGGGAAGGGCAGCAAGCCAGGTGGCCCTGCCCACCTCGAGCCGTGGCGAG